TCGCATCAATTGAATTGTCAAAAATTCAATCGTGGCTTTTATTTAAAATTAATAATCAATTTACAACAAATGAATTAACTAAAATAACCTTGACCATGCATGCCAAACAATGAACTTGTTACAAACTGCAAGAGTGCATTTTCTTGCAGACGAAATTTGACGCTTTTGTTTTCATGAGCAAACAAAACGTATGACGTGTTTTTGGGCATTGCATTGACAAAATTATTTTTTACAACAAAATATATTTGAAATGAAATTATTACAACAAATTATTCATACAAAATAATACAAACAAATTATTTATACATAATAATATAATATAATATTTAACATTCTCTCCCGCGTTAAACAATCGTTCAACAATATGAGCCTCTAGCTGTCAGGTAGTCAGTCCGACTATACAAGGTGAGATGAAAAAACTGCAACCAACTTCAGACTGCTGTCATTTCTAAACCGCTCGTCCCACAGCTGTCAGATTTATTCTAGTGACAGCTCATTATATTGTTTACAAGCGCACAAAAGCATTTTGGTGGGAATTTTTCAAAAAAAAAGTTATTTGTGATGGAATTCAAGCGTGATAGTGTGATTGCTTTGCATTTGGCTGGAAAACCACAAGTGGCTATCGTTAGAGCCCTCCAGCATTTAGAAGTGAATAAATGTTTTGTGTCTCGTACCATCGCTCGTTACCATGATACTGGTAGCGTAGCCCGACGTCAAGGAAGTGGACGAAAAAAAACAGCAACATCGGCAGAAATGGTTCGAAAAGTGAAAAAGCGAATTGAACGAAATCCGCGTCGCAGTGGACGAAAAATGGCTCGTGAGCTGAACATATCGCAATATGCCATTCGGCAAATATTGAAAAATGAGCTTGGACTAAAGCCATTCAAGTTCCAAAAAGTGCAAGATCTTACTGATGCGCAAAAAAAAGTTAGACTCGAAAAAGCTAAAGAGTTGTTTCGCTTGGCCGAAAGTGGTGAACTGCCGAATTTGGTTTTCTCCGATGAGAAACCATTCGTTATCCAGCAGTTTGTAAACAAACAAAATGATCGTGTTTACTTGCCAGAGAGGTCAGCTGAAAATTTGCAACTTCGGTTGGCCATCACAACTCAAAAGCCGGCCATGGTGATGGTGTGGGCCGCCATAACAGCCGATGGTCGCTCGCCGCTCGTATTCATCGACCGTGGTGTCAAATTAAATGCGCAAATCTATCGCGAAAATATTTTGGAGGGAGTTCTGAAGCCCTGGGCACGCAAACATTTCGGCCGCAGACCTTGGACATTCCAACAGGACTCAGCACCATCGCACTCAGCACGCGCCATCCAAGAATGGTTAAGAAATGAGGTTCCTCGCTTCATTTCCACCGCACAATGGCCACCAAAATCTCCGGATGCCAATCCGTTGGACTATTGTGCCTGGGGTATTTTGGAAAGCAAGGTTGGAACTAAAAAATACCAAAGTGTCGATCATCTCAAGCAAGCGCTTCGCCGAGAATGGGACAAAATACCGCAGAGCCACTTTCGGGCCAAAGGTGGCCAATTCGAACAAATCTAAACCGATTCTCAAATTTGATGTTATTTCCGACATTTTTTGCTTTCATTCAATAAAATTTAAAAAAAATGAAAAAATTTATGGCGTTTTACTTTGTTGCAGTTTTTTCATCTCACCTTGTATGTTGATAACGAATTCTCGTGACTGCCGCTGTGGCATGGGTAATTCTAATGAAATTTGATTTGATTGACTTCCTTTTGTAATTGTGTTGGTGTCAATAACAATGGATTCACTTTTCCATGATGAGTATCAGTTAGAGCATCTTTAATGGCAGATTGTATCTTCTGTACATTATGTGCTACCAGTGTTAGTTGAATGGCTCCTGCATTGAAAACTTGATTGAGCCGTGCCTGATTAACCTCTCTATTTGTATCTTTTATGGAATTCATCAGTGCCTTTATTTCATTGTCAATGTGCTCAAAACCTTCTTGAACTGCGATTTTATCTTTCTTCATTATATTGATTGTTGAATCGACAACTGATGTTTGATTCTTAAATAACGTCAATAATTGCATTTCATTTTGTTTCACTTCTGAAATTATATTTGACATTCCTTTGGCATATTCTGATTCTAATACTCTAAATAGCGAATGTGCAACATTGCCTACAAGATCAATTGCTCCTCTTCTGGATCGATGGTCATGAAGTAATTTATCATCAAGTTGTAGTTCGGATTCAATATGTTTAAAGTGATTAATTGTACTCGCACATGATGCGTTTGGTTTTATTTGTTGACAAGCTTGATGTAGCGACGTTATTCCTGTGTTTAGAGCTGCTGCTTCTGTCCAATAAAGACTTAAGTAGTTATAAACTAAAAGATTCCATTCAGTAGTTGATATGGCAGCTATGCACAGATTTTCAAAGTGAATACCCAATTTCGACCCAAACCTTTTATTATCAATTGGAGACCCTATTACTATTGGTAATATTAGTAATAGTGTGAGTAATACAGAACAGTATAAATTGGTCGGCAGTTTTCTACGTTTTGTCTTGGGCTCTTCATACGACTCTTTTTTATCTTCAATAATTACGTTTCAGGAGGTATTTCGTGATCAGCTTCAGCCATTGTTAGTTGATCATCTGTATTAACAGGCAGTAGAGCTATACAGGCAGTGTTTTAACTGGGAAACTAGGTTCCAACGCGACAATAACGTGTGTTTTTCTGGTTTTGATCGGCTGTCTACATGAGTTGTAGGAGCTTCTCCAATTGATAAGTGTCCTGGAGTTAATGCTGTCAAATCAGTTGGATCATTGGACATTGGAGTCAATGGTCGTGAATTTAATATCGCTTCAATTTCCACCACCATTGTTTCGAGTTCTTCATACGTCAATGATGCTGTTGAAACGCTGCGTAGTAACAAATATTTTGCGAACTTTACGGATGCTTCCCATAAACCGCCAAAGTGTGGAGCCCTTGGTGGAATAAAATGAAAGTTTATTCCTGTATTACTGCAAGCAGAGATTATTGCTTCTTGCCCTTCATTAGAATAAATACTTTTCTCTAGTTCTGCTAACTGGTTTTTGGCGCATACGAAGTTTGTTGCATTATCACTGTAAACATTCAAACAACGCCCTCGTCGACCTATGAATCGTTTTAATGCTCCAATGAAAGCATTTGTTGATAAGTCGGTCACTAACTCGAGATGTACCGCCTTTGTGGCAAAACAACAAAAGACAGCAATATATGCCTTTGTTGGCTTTTTGCCCCTCACCTTGTAGTGGATCCAAAATGGTCCGCAATAGTCTACCCCTGCATTAATAAAGGGTCTTGCAGGAGCTATTCTTGATTCTGGTAGATTCCCCATAATTTGTTGGCATAGTTGCGGACGTGCTTTGTTGCATCGAATGCATCGCTCGGGCTGTTGATTTACCTTTAATCGGCCAAAAACGTTGTCTTAGTATACTCAATAGTGCCTGCGGGCCACAGTGCTTGTTTTCATCATGGAACATCACGAATAATAATTTTGCCAATGGATCATTGTATGGGATCAGCATTGTGTGTTTAGAATCGTATGGTAATGATGAGGCTTCTAAGCATCCTCCTACTCTAAGAACATTTGCATTATCCACGAATGGAGATAAACTACTGATTGAACTAGATTTATCAACATGGCCTTGTTTCTTCAGTTGTTTGATTTCTTCATGAAAATCATTACCCTGAATGTGACATATTATAGTTATTAATGCTGCTTCCAATTCGGTAGCACTAGGTGCTATATGTATGGCACATGACTACTTTGATTTTCTTGTGTTGTTAGTGAATCTAAGAACATATGCTACTATCCTTTGTAACGTCTTGAAAGAATTCTTGTGCTGAATCCTGTATATGAAATCTGCGTCATCGCATTGAGTTGCTACAGCTACAACCTTTTTCTTCTCCAGATCAACTGGAACTTGTAATGATGATGAAAACCTTGGTGGCCATACTTTCTGCCTTCCATGCAAAAAGAACGGTCCTTGAAACCAAAGTGCACATGTTGACAATGCCCTTGCTGAAAGTCCTCTTGATAACACATCAGCTGGGTTGTCCTTTGACCTAACATGTCGCCACTGCCGACACAGAGTTAAAGTTTGAATTCTTGCCACCCTGTTAGCTACAAATGTTCGAAATGATGAGGACTGTGAGTTAATCCAAGACAACACAATTTCTGAATCAGTCCACAAAAATACTGGCTGGTCCTTCTCCTGAAGATCGCTTTCGACTCTTGCTGAGAGTTCCGCTGCTAGGACTGCCGCACATAACTCTAGTCGCGGTAGCGTTTGTTTTCAGAGTGGTGGTACTCTTGATTTTGCACATAATAGTCGCATTATTATTCTACCATCCTTTAAAATTGCTCTGACATATGCTGCAGCACCAAATGCCTTTTCAGATGCATCAGCAAAAATGTGTAGTTGTGTTGATGATGGAACCTCGCCTCTGAAGATATGTCTTGCCACTTGAAGGTTTTCTAGAGTACTTAAGTTTTCTCTAAATGTTGACCATGTTGTACGAAGATCTGTAGGAAGTGGTTCATCCCAAGATAATTTCAACTGCCATAAGTGTTGTATGAAAATCTTTGCCTTCACTATTACTGCAGCTAATAACCCAAGTGGGTCGAACAGTCTAGCTAAATCAGAACTAACGACTCTCTTCGTGATTATACCTTCAGTAACCATTTTGACCTTAATTCCAAATAAATCCGCCTTGGGCAACCAAAATAATCCCAGCGTTTTGATTGACTCGTTATTATCGAAATCTAAATTTACCTCTTGATCATCTTAAGAAATGTTTTTCAAAAGTTGAGGATAGTTTGCGCTCCATTTGCGAAGACAAAAATGATGCTTCTTCAAAATATGGATTAGTTGTCTTTGAGCTTCAATAGCCGTAATTAAACTATCTGATCCACCCATCGTCAACGTAGAAATTGTCACATAGGACTTGGATAATTCACCTTATTATCTAATGCTATCTTTTACAGACATCTTGTTGCTAGGTAAGGAGCTGCTCGAGTTCCATATGTAATTGTGTTTAGCTGATAATAACGAATCGTAGAATTTGGACTGCTTCTCCAAATGATAAGTTGATAACGCCGATCTTCAGGATTTATCAAAACTTGACGATACATTTTCTCGATATCTGTGGTGAAAACAAACCGTGGTCGCCTAAAACGGAGCAGAATTGAAAAAAGTTCACTTTGAACTGTCGGTCCGTTAAACATTAAATCATTCAACGAGTGTCCAGATGTAGTTTTATCTGATGCGTCAAACACCACTCGAAGTTCAGTAGTTGTACTATCTGGTTTTAGTACACAATGATGAGGAATGAAATATCTTGGAGTCAACATGGAATCCAGGTTTACTTCAGTCATGTGACCCAATCGCTCATACTCTTCCATAAACTGCACATATTGTTTCCGCAAAACATCATTTTTTGCTAGTCGTCGTTCAAGAATGATGAACCTTCTCCAAGTTGTTTCTTGAGATTCCCCTAACGTCAATGAGTTTTCCAGAAACGGCAACCTTACCACAAAACGTCCTTCTTTATTTGTATGGACGTTCTGAACAAAATGAGATTCGCATAATTTTTCTTCTTTGGATAATGTCCTTTCTGTTGTATTCACCTCATCCACTCGCCATAATCGTTCAATTGCATCTTCTAACGATGAATTATTATCAACAGCCTCCACCCCACCGCCAAAAACTGCACATAAAACGTTTGATGTGTCTGTATTTGATGCAACCTTGCCACTGTCAATCCAGCCAAATGTAGAATTTTGCAAGACTGGAAGCCCAGGAGCAAGCGTGATTTTACCCTTTTTTATCAGACTGAAATAGAACTCCGCACCGAGTAAAATATCAATTTTCCTTTGTTGGAAAAATGTTGGATCTGCTAACGGAATGCTGTCCCGAACCTTCCATTTGGAAATATCATAGCTGGAACTTGGTTGAGGTGGAACTATGTTTGGAAGCACAAACGCTTCGACTTCTGTAGTGAACCTCGAGTTAAGAGATTGCAATTTGATGTTAACTCGCTGCGTTGAATTATATGCACCTTTCCTATACCTTCTATGCACAATAACGATTTTGTTTTTGATGTATTGAGCCTTCTGGCAAGACGCTCAGAGACTTTGTTCACTTGTGAACCAGAGTTTAGTAATGATGTTGTATTTCCATTAGTTGCAGTTATTTTAACTCTTGCAGTTGGCAAAAAAACATATTCACGATGACCTGTGGATGTGTTCGCTGTCGCTGTGGTAACTGCAGTATTGTACCCACTTGAAGTAGGTTAAATGTTTTGTTTTGTTTGATTGTTACCGTCCAAATGTAGCAACGTGTTATGCTTTTTATTACATTTGGTACAACTTCTTGATAAACATTTGTTCACCACGTGATCATTTTTGAAACAGTTGAAACAGAGCTGTTGGTTTTTCACCCAATCCAAATGGTGAAAATTGCAGGAAATTACGGCAATAGTACAGTGGGTGCCTGTCTACATTGCACAGTTTGCAATTGTTGTTTCCTTTAGAAACTGTCACAGCCGACGAAACTGATTTATTTCGATCTACTTTAGTTTTTATGGCCACCTTATCTTTTTGTTCTACAACTTCCATCAGTTGAAATTGTAGCTCTAAAAAGGCTAAAACCTCCTGAATGTTTTGTATCTCTTTTGGTTTTGTCAGAGATTGCTCATATCTAATGAGCATCGTCCGATCGAGTTTTTAATTAATATCTGTAACTAAATTGGGTCCTAAAAAGTCATTTGAACACCAAGATTGTTCAGTGCTAATAGACACTCTTTCGTTGTGTCATGTAAATTTTTAACTGCTGCCACAGTTGATGTGCCTGATGGCTGATTTAGAAGTTCATCGATTAAGGTGGACGCCAATACCCTTTTATTGTTATAGCGGTCTTGTAATAATGTCCACGCTGCAGGATAATTCTCCTCCGTTATGCTGAAATGAATGATTAATTTTTCAGCTTCACCTGTCACATGTGATTTCAAATACCACATTTTTTGAGCAGTTGGTAGTGGCTGTTTGTCTACCATTTGTATAAACAAGTCAAAAAATTGCCTCAATTTTAAGTAATTTCCATTAAATCTTGGGATTGTTACCTTTGGCAATGGCAGTGAGGAACGCATATTTGTTTCTGCTACTGCTGCTTGTTTGTTTTGTAGTTGATCCAATTTTATGGAGAGCTCTATCAAACATTGTTGTACCAAATCTTCAATTTGGTAATATTCATCTTGGTCAAATCCTGACGTTAGTGGATTTTCCAAGTTTTCCCAGAGTTTATCATGCAAACATCCCAGCATGATCGTGTTTGATTTTATTTCGTAATATTGAATTGGCTGTATGCCTTCGCTCTCTGACAAGCTCTCTACTAATCTTTTTAGATCTGCCATTCGAGCAGATATTTTTCTTACTAAACCATTTGTCGTAGCCACTAGTTGCGGCTGTGATGCCTTTTGGTTACTAGCAGCTTCACCAAAATTGTCTGTTGCTTTGATTGTTGCCATCGTTATTCTGGAGTTTTTGCCAAATGTGCTATGAAATGTTCTTCGAATGCTGAAACTTAACTGCTGACTGTTGATTGTTGACTGTTGCAAAATATATATATTTTGTCCAAGCGCGTTTTGAGTCAACGCGCTTGGACACCATTATATGTATCATATATTCAATAAATTAAGCGTATATTCTTTTATTTTCTTTCCCAAACAGGTGAACACAGAAACAAGGTGATCCAAGCCAACTACAAGTTCAGACTAAAGACCATTTCACAGAGGTAGTCATTAAAAGTAAGACCATTGGGTGTTTTAACGAATCAACCACCACTGATGTGCCGTCCAAGCCAAAGGAATAGTTTTTGTTCATGCTGATTACATTTAATTTCTTCCTTTTGTATATAGATTATTGATTTTTTTTGTAAATAAATAGTTCTGAAAACTGAAATCACCATCTTTTATTTGATAAGTCCCGTCCTTGTAAATACAAATTTATTGTAACGACACGGAAAATTCGTGTCTTTACAAGCGTCGTCAACTTATCGTCAACATCTTTGAACTCAAAAAATAACACAGCTACAAAGAAAAGAAAAATCAATAAAAACCGACTATATTTTTTTATTTTTATTTTTAATATATTATAAATTATTAAAATTATAAATGAAATAATATAAATTTTTTATAAATTTTATAATTACATAAAATCTAATTATATGAAAAATATATAAGTATGTATTTTTCTATTAGTTAAAATAAAACTTACTGAAAATTTGTTTCAAACATCGCCTTATTTCTTTTCTATTTGGATTGTGATTGTTTAGTGTTCAAACTTATTTTCAAGCCCTCTATTGTCTTCTCAGAACCGACATACGGATTTCATTTTTATCTAAAATAGCAACTCATTAAAATTTTATTATTTATTTAATAATATTTACTGCCCGTATTTACCAGAAGTCCAGCACTTTCTTTGGTTTCTAGTTATCATTGAAGATGTTTTGATTTGGAATAATTTGTAATTTTTTGTTCTTTTGTGTATGCAGAAACTGCCAGTTTCATATTGTGCACAATATCACAAACATTATATATTAAATTATTTAATTTCTATGCGTTTTTCATGCTGAATTACTTTCTTCTAACAACACAAAATTTAATATCATCTGTTTACAATTAAAATGTAAACACAGAAAAGTTCTAAAACTAGAACTTTTTAACACATAAAAGCTCTTTCCCATTCCTTTCCTTAAGTAACTCATGATAATGTAAACGCGAAAAGCTCCATGTTACTATAAGACTTACTAAGTACGTAGTGGGAACGTAGTATAAAGCAACCAATCTTGGTATAAACAAGGGATCATGTCACTTCACTGAGAAGAAACTTGGGCGGGAGGTTTTGTGTTTTGCTTGTCGACATCAAATTTGTTAAATTATTTCATTAGGATTATTCAAAGCGAAATAAGGTTAATCAAAGGCTCCACACGTCAAAATGTTTGATGACTTAGAATGCATGGTATTTAGGCAAATTCAAAACAAAGTATTTCAAAAGCAGTCTACAAGACTTATACGTCAAAAGTAATAATAATGCTAAAAATTCCAAACATGTCATACATTTTTGTCGTGAATCGAATAAATATTACTCTTGTGATGATTATAAGGAGTTCTTGTATCTAGTATTCACATTTTTTGGCAAAAATTTCTGCAATTTAAAATTTTGTCACCCAGATCCCACTTTAGATTCTCGATGGATGCCGATAGTCATATATTTACTAAAAATGCTTAGTTTAAGAGATCAATTTATATTTAACTCTGGTGATTTAAATAAAGTAAATAATTAACAAAGAAATTTCGGACGCAGTCTTCATGTAAATGACTTGATGAAAATTTATGATACTTTGCAGAAGAACTCAAGGCCATGCCTTTCTTTGTTTCAATTGAGGAGAAATTGAAAATGATTGGAAATATCAATTCTTTGCAATTATTGGTAAGAATATTTTTTTGTACATAATTGTGAAAAAAATATGAATTTTTATGCCTTTTAGCAGTAAAATAATAAATAGAAAAAATATCATTCGTTGACAGTTAACTGGAAATTTCGTAGGTACTTCCAAAAGACGTTCATAATAGACCCATTTTTAGTCTTGGCAACCATGCGATTTGAGTTTCTTATTAGTTAAGCGATTTTAAAAAGGTTGGACTAAATAAACTAGCTGTATTGTTGTTTCATATGTTACTTTTAAAATAAGCAGTTGTTCTTTTGTGATGTCCTTACAAAAGAAAAGGTCTATTGTAATCCATAATTTAAATAATTTTATCAATCATTCGGCTAAGAAATCTCACTATGTATCGGTTAAAGGTTAAAACCGTTAAATGTGTTATACAAAAAAATGTCCTATAGATCGAGTTTGTAAAAAATATCATGCCTTTCAACTTTTGTCATAACAAAGGAATAAAATGAACTTGAATTTAAAAATTTTCATTTTTTGTATTAAAAACCCAATTTTGCTCAAACGACGGAACACCATTTTTAATCCTATTAATCCAAAACTTCGGGAATATCATTTTTTTGGTCAGTGGCATATTCCTAGGGGGCTAATTAAAAATTGTATTTTTGTTTTTTTTAACCCACTCTAGTGCACCCTAGTGTCTAAAACATTTTGTATAAATGTTTTTGACATATAAATTATAGTACTTTCTGTAAAAAAATAAGTTAAATAAAGTAATAAACTTTGTTGATCTTACTCATTGATGTCGGCGTGAGTTGATATTTCTCAATAAATGTTTCTTATCATGCCTTCGCCTCTATTAAGTTTTTTTGTGTTTGCTTTTGTTTCTAATATTTTTGTATTGCGCGTTCTTGAAATACTTTGTCATTATCCACAGCTACAAAACAACTCACATTTGGAGTAAAATTTCATATTTTGCATTATATAAAATTGCCAATTTAGCAAAGTTTGTGTGTAAATAACTTAAAATGCGATATTCAATGCACAAGTACATCATTGACATACTTTGTTTAGGCAGCACTTTTAATTTAACATTTACACATTCTACATCCTTTGAACACAATTGATATCCTATCCCTATCAACATCATTGTTTGCAAAATACGAGTGCTATAAATTTTAAATAATTTAATTGAAATCAAAAAATTACAGAATACGAAAAAACTTCACAATTTTAAGAAAGATATTGGATTTGATATTTAACTAGCTGCTAAATGGCAGCGATATCAAGATAATAGTGCAATGTTTTTAATTTTTGAAATTCAATATCCGAACACAAGTCTTGTTCAGATTCTGAAAAAAAAATGTGTAAAAGATACTCAATTATTCCTAACAAATATATGTATATTAAATAACAAGTATTAATGATGATGCATACTAGTTCATTCTATATAAGGGTAAAATAAGGGCTGCTTTGTAGCAAGAGTAGCTGGCGTTTTTTACGTTACTCTCATATTTTAGCTGATTGTGCAACCACTACATTGAAGTCTTTATTGAAACGCAATAAGTTGGAAAATTCAAGCCGAAGCAATTTGTGCTTTGTGAGCATATGAAATTATACATTACTGAAAATGTGGATAATATGGAGATATTAATATAATCGTAAACACAAAACCCATTTATTCATCAGCAACTGGCAAAGAGGAATATTAGCCACTTAACACATTTGAAGTTATTAAAGACAGCTGGAACTGTTAGAATTTTACAACAACTTAACTAACATAACGCAATTAACAGAATACATAGTAGGCACAAAACGTAAGATCAGTAAAAAATAGCAAAATGTCCTAAACTTATTTTGTTATACTTTTAAAGAAAATATACTTATTAAATCAATTCTTTGTATTGGTGAACAGATCTCATATCGATTAAGA